ATAAAAGTGTGGCACATGTAATTAGTACAGTACATATTTGAAAATAAGCAACTATGTTATTGTAACTTTTATAGTTATTTTAGAATATACTCCTACTATATAACAGGTTAACTGTAAAACAGCCTCGGGCAGGTTCTTCAGGAGGGATTCTAGAAGAAGGCATTGTTACCATAGGAGATGACAGCTCCAGTGTGTTATGAAGACCTTTCAGTGGGACAAGATGTGGAGGTGGAAGACAGTAATATTGATGATCCTGCCCCTTTGTAGGCCTAGGCTAATGTGTATGTTTGTATCTCAGGTTTTAATACAAAAGCTTAAAAAGTAAAAGTTTTAAGTAGAAAAAAGTTGAGAGAATAAGAATACAGAGAAAGGAAATGTTTTTGTAAGCTGTACAATGTGTGTGTGTTTTAAGGAAAGTGTTTTTATAGAAGTCAAAAAGTTAAAAAATTAAAGTTTATAAGGTAAAAGTTACAGTAAGCTAAGGTTACTTAGCTTATGTTATTTCTATAAATGTAGTGTAGCCTAAGTGCACAGTGTTTATAAAGGCTCCAGTAGTGTAATGTCCCAGGTCTTCCCATTCGTTCATCACTCACTCACTCACTCAGCCAGAGCAACTTCTAATCCTGCATGCTCCAATTCTTGGTAAATGCCCTATGCTGGTACGCCATTTTTAATCTTTTATATTGCATTTTGACTATACCATCTCTGTTTAGATACACAAGTAGTGACCACTGAGTTACAACTGTCTACAGTATTCAGTGCAATCCCATGCTGTTCAGGTTTGTAGTGTAGCAGCAATGGGTATATCACATAGCCAAGGTGTGTCATAGGCTGTACTTTCTAGGTTTATAATGTTCACACAACAAAGTTGCCTCATGATACATTTCTCAGAACATATCCCTGTAGTTAGGCAACGCATGACCGTACCTCCAAATACTTACATTGTTAATCTCCGGGTAATAGGATTATCAGTGGCTTTTCTTTACACTTTCCATGTTTTAAATTTTTACAATAGTCCTTTTTTATTTTTCATATTGATTACAAAATAATTTCCAGCTATGAAAATACTTTTTTTTTTTTAAAGTAGATTTTGGCCAGGCGCAGTGGCTCAGGTCTGTAATCCCAGCACTTTGGGAGGCCAAGGCAGGCGGATCACAAGGTCAGGAGATTGAGACCATCCTGGCTAACATGGTGAAACCCTGTCTCTACTAAAAATACAAAAAATTAGCCAGGCATGGTGACATGCGCCTGTAGTCCCAGCTGCTCAGGAGGCTGAGGCAGGGGAATTGCTTGAATCTGGGCAGCAGAGGTTGCAGTAAGCTGAGATCACACCACTGCACTCCAGCCTGGGCGACAGAGCAAGACTCTGTCTCCAAAAAAAAAAAAAAGGAGATTTTAAAGACTTTTAGAAAAGCATTCTATGCTTTCATCCTAAGAGAAAAAAAAAGAGCCACATGAGGAGGCTCACATTTGTAATCCCAGCACTTTGGGAAGCTGAGGCAGGCAGTTTGCTTGAGCCCAGGAGTTCAAGAGCAGCCTGGCTGAGGTGGGAGGATGGTTTGAGCCTTGGAAATTGAAGGGGCAGTGACACTGATCACTCTGCTGCACTCTGGCCTGGCAGCCTGGGCAATGGAGTGAGACCCTGTCTCAAAAAAAAAAAAAAAAAGTGAAACCGAAAAAAAAATATTAGGTAGATCTTTTAGAATATGAGTTGTCTTTTTTTTTTTTTTTTTTTTTGGAAGACAAGTGTATTTTTTTTAACAGGTGGTGTTTGGTTCCATGATTTCACTTTATCTAATGGCAAGTAAAAGTGTAAGGAAAAGAAATGAGCTGTGTTGTTACATTTTGAAAACATCTCAAGGCAGCAAGAAATTGGGTGAACCTGAATATTTTTACCGGAAAGACTAAGTAAAGATCATAGCATGATGTTTCTAAGACACAAACTCTTCATAATCTAACATCTCTCAATTTAGGAGGTATTTTTTTAAATTAAGTTTTACTGAGATATAATTCACATACTATAAAACTCACCTTTTTGTGTGTAATCCAGTGGTTTTTGGTCTATTTACATAGTTGTATATCCATCAACACTAAGTTTAGAACATTTTCATCATCCCCCCCAAATAAGCCTCATGTCTATTAGTAATCACTTCTTATTCCTTTTTTCTTAACTCCTGGCCATGACAAATCTATGTGTCTCCGTGGATTTGCGTGTTTCTTACATAAAATATGTTGCCTCTTGCTTCTGGCTTTTTCAACTTAACATGTTTTCAAGATTCATCTATGTTGCATGTATCAGTATCAGTACTTCATTTTTGTAGTCAAATAATTTTACATTGTATGGATATACCATGTTTTGTCCGTCCATTCCTCAGCTGATGAGCATTTCTTCCCACTTTTTGGGTATTATAAATAATGCTATGAACATTCATGTACATATTTCTGTGTGAACATATTTTCAATTCTATGTATATACCGACCAATGGAATTGCTGGAGCACATGGTAACTGTACATAAATTTTACCTCTTGAGGAATGCCAAACTATTTGTTCCAAAGCAGCTGCATCACTTTACGATCCATATCAACATTCACTATTGTCTTTTTGACTTTAGCCATCCTAGTAGGTATAACATGGTATCGTGTGGTTTTAATTTGCACTTCTTGTGGTTTTAATTTGACGGCTAATTGTGTCGAGCTATGTTTTCATGTGCTTACTGTGTTATACATTCTTTGAAAAATGTTCCGAAAACTTATAAACTTTTGACTATCTTTTAATGAGGTTGCATTTTAATGAGTTGTAAGAGCCTGTTACATATTCTGGACTTAAGTTCCTTATCAAATATATAATCCCCAGATATTTTCTGTTTTGTGGGTTGTCTTTTTACTCTCTTGACAGTGTCCTTTCATGCACAAAACTTTTCAATTTTCATAAAACCCAATCTGTTTTTTTTTTTTCTTGAGACAGAGTTTTGCTCTTGTTGCCCAGGCTGGAGTGGAATGGTGCGGTCTTGGCTCACTGCAACCTCCACTTCCAAGTTGCAAGCGATTATCTGGCCTCAGCCTCCCAAGTAGCTGGAATTACAGGCACCAGCCACCATGCCCAGTTAATTTTTGTATTTTCAGTAGAGAAGGGTTTTCCCCATGCTGGCCTGGTTGAAATCTAACTCCTGACCTCAAGTAATTCACCTGTCTCAGCCTCCCAAAGTGCCAGGATTATAGGTGTGAGCCACTGTGCCTGGCCTTTTTCTTTTGTTGCTTGTGTTTTTACATTTAGTACGTCAAAAATCACTGATTAATCTAAGGCTACAAAGGTTTACATTATGTTTTCTTCTGAGAGTTATATAGTTGTAGCTCTTTGACCCATTTTGAGTTAGTGTTTGCATGTTGTGTGAGGGGTATTCCTTGACCAATGATATGTATCTTACAGTTATAGCTGGTTGTGATTTTCTGTAATACGTCTTACCATTTTTGGCATCTTAGGTTTGACAAAGTATGGAGCACTTATCCCCTGAAATAACAGCCTACATAAATATGCATTTTTTTTTTCTGGAAATGAAAAATCTGTTTCTCTCAATACTAAGACTCCTTGAATATCAATGTGATGAGAAAAAAACTATCATAAATACGTATATTTTCTTATGACAGATATGTTAGTTTAAAGCTTCAAGTAAGGATTGAAGGCTTACACACAATCCTTATTATGTTGTTAAAAGTGAATGACGACTGTCACAAAAGTGACAATGCAATATGGCTGAAATGATCATGACAAAAATCCATTAATTCTACAAAGTCAGGTTAAATTCCCCTGGAAGTTAAATTTGACAGTGATATGTCACAAGAAATAGTAATATAGGCACCAAAAGTCTGACAAAGGGTTAATATCCAGAATCTATAAAAAACTAAAGCAGATTTACAAGAAAAAAACAAACCCATTCAAAAGTGGGCAAAGGACATGAAAAGACACATAGGAGGCCAACAAACATGAAAAAATGCTCATCATCACTGGTCATTAGAGAAATGCAAATCAAAACAACATTGAGATACCATCTCACATCAGTTAGAATGGCGTTCATTAAAAAATCTGGAGACAACAGATGCTGGAGAGGATATGGAGAAATAGGAACATTTTTACACTGTTGGTGGGAGTGTAAATTAGTTCAACCATTGTGGAAGACAGTGTGGCAATTCCTCAAGGACCTAGAAATAGAAATTCCATTTGACCCAGCAATCCCATTACTGGGTATATATCCAAAGGATTACACATTACTGTATTATAAAGACACATGCACATGTATGTTCACTGCAGCACTGTTTACAACAGCAAAGACCTGGAGCCAGCCCAAATGCCCATTGATGATAGACTGAACAAGAAAAATGTGGCACATATACACCATGGAATACTATGCAGTCATAAAAAACGAGTTCATGTCCTTTATGGGGACATGGATGAACCTGGTAACCATCATTCTCAGCAAACTGACACAAGAACAGAAAATCAAACACCTCATGTTCTCACTCATAGGCAGGTGTTGAACAATGAGAACACATGAACACAGCGAGGGGAGCATCACACACGGGGGTCTGTTGGGAGGGAATAGGAGAGGGACAGTGGGGGATAGGGAAGCTGGGGAGGGATAATATGAGGAGAAATGCCAGATATAGGTGACGGGGAGGGGTGGGGGATGGATGCAGCAAACCACATTGCCATGTGTGTACCTATGCAATAATCCTGCATGTTCTGTACATGCACCCCAGGACCTAAAGTGCAATAAAATATGTATTTTTTAAAAAAGAAAATTTCTTTAATTAAAAAATTTAGGGGATTTTCAGAATCCAGATTTAAACATGTATTGTGCAGAATATAAAACAATAATAAATTCAGCAGTTTGAGATTAACTTGGAAGTCAGAGAAGTGAAAAACATCAATTCTACTTGTATCAACTTCCTACTGAATGTCCTGATGAACTCGGTGACAACCACAGAGTCTGAAGATAATGACTCACAAACAGACTGAAATCCATTTAATAGTTTTTGAAGATTTTTTTCCTGTAAAATGGCTTGTATTTCCACAGGTACAATAGTGAAGAAATAAACTTTTCAATTTGACATGAAATATAAAACAACAATTTTACAAATATATTCATAAAATTTAACTGCTCATAACACAATACATGGTAAATGTGACCATCCCCTTAACTTCTAGACTATTTAATACAGAGAAGCAATCTGTCATCTCAACTAAAAAGAAACATCTTTCCTTTCATTGAGTTTATTTGTTCAGAAACATGTTTAGAAACTGTCAAGTACTACTGTAAAATATTTTCCTTACCTTCCTCTAGGGATTCTTCATGAGGGCAAAAACTTATTTGAAAGGATGTAAGTTTTACTAAAAAGAAAATACTGAACCTTCTTTTTGTGTTACTGCTTCAATGATGCTTGCATTCTTTTAAAAAGATTCTGAAGTTGTCTCATTGGCCTTTGAGTGGTAACGAAATGGTAACAGAGCTGTGCTTTTTCAGCACAGAAGGAGAAGCATCATACCCTAAGCCACAAAGGCTAAACTACTGGGATAGAAGATTGACAGTAAAGGGACGGAGCTGGATTTGGCATAAAGTCAAAGTCCTGTGGTTTGTCTATCAGAAATTCCACTGTTATGAGGCAAGACTGCAAGAAGATAGCTAGTTTTTACCCAGCATTAACAATGGTGTCATCACACACCTTTTCAAACACATCTAAGGAACAGAATGACTTTAATAAAGAAAAGAAGTGGAGCAAAACCATACAACTGTGGGTAACAATTCTGTAACCTGTATTACACTTCAATTAAGCAGAAAACTCTCCACAGTGCCCACACAATACTGAGCTCCCAAATAACAGGTTTGAGTTTTTCCATGGAAAAAAAAAAAAAAAAGACATTGAAGCTTTAAGAAGAAAAGAGTTCTCCTCAACTTTCCCAATACAGTATATGTAATAACTTAAAATAATTTCCTTATTGGTACTGGAAAATAAATTCTACTACAATCATGTTTATGCCAGTTTCTGGCATATTTCTGCATCCAGATTCATTAGTCTCCTTAATGGAGCCCATCATTTTTCCAATGGCTTTCTCCTTTCTTTAAACCCTAGCCCTGAAATTCTATAACCAGTTATATCACGTGGCTTCCCTGAGGCACAAAGGTACCAAAGTCTATAATTAACTATTGAGGAATGATAAATATGCTCTCTATTTATATTAACAGATTTTAATTCTTTTGGGCCACAGTTTGGGAAAAAAAAATCCAGAAACCTTAATACTTACTCTGCAGGGTGAACTGTAGCCGTTTTTGCTAAAAGCTGAACCAAATAAAGGAAATGTTGAGAGTTGCAGCATGCATGACCCGGCAGCACCGATTATTAATAAAAAATTCCGGACTAGAAAAATACTCAGAGTTGTACTCCATCCACTCTGAATCATTTTTTTGTAGTAAACGACATAAACAACTGAAAAATATTTCTATGGGAATACATCACTGGGGATTTTACTTCTGGGAAGCTACTTGCAAAAGACGTTAGAGTCAGGCCGGGACAACGAATTGTTCTGCAATTTCCTTATGTGTACACACGGGGGCGTGGGGCTAGTCCTTTAAAGTGATGGCAAGCAAGACATAAAAAAAATAAGTGACCTTGGAGACATTACTTTTCTGAACTGTATTTCTCTGCCTTGGTGAGTTACAGAGGTCTTTATTCTCACAAACTCAACTCTGAAAAAAAAAAAAATTAAAGGGATCTTCCTACAAGAGGCCATGAACAGCCTGGCGTCCTTTCTGCTGACTTGCCACCTCTCTGCAGTTCCTTAGGCAGGGTGGGCGGGACCTCACTTTGGAGGCCAAAGGAAAAGATGTGGAGCCCATAGAGGGCGGTTCACTGTTACCCCTTCTAAGAGCTGGGAAATTACTACCCAAATTTCAGCTTACATTTAAGCTGAATTATGGCAAGTGTCCAACTTGGAAGGTGACTTCGTTTTAGGGGATATGTCACATTGCAGAATGAGTAAGCTTAAGAACAGAACTTGAAATGGGAAATTATAATACACCTAACTCTCTGGAAAAATATCTTTTTACTTGGTAGGTAAAATCTGGCCTTTCTGGATGCAAGACCATTTAGCTTACAAGATGCTTTTTAGCTTACAAGATGCTTTTAGGGCATCAAGAATGCTTCAACCACTTTCTAGGCATATACCAAGGAAAGGGAATGAGTGCCTCCTTTGTCATTCTTCGGAGCACAAAGAATTACAGGGTGAAAAGACCTACTCTATCAGTGAAAGCTAATCATCAGAGGCTCTGGCTAAATCAAAGGGCACTCAATATATTATTCTAGGCAAGTCCATTTTTTTCTTTCATTTTCTGTCTGCAGGCAGAGTAAGCTCTACCAAATAGAGCAAGCTATCCATAAGGGGACTGTTGTCAGATTTTCACATCATTTAAAATTTACCCAAACAAAACCAAAACCAAAAATGCCTCATCCTACACAATGATGTCCCTTGAAAAATAAAGCTATTTTAAAACTGAGAGGCTGAACTTTAAAAATATTACATCAAAGTAAGCAGCAGCAATCAAGAGTAATATATCGTATCATTTTCAGAGGGTATTCAAATAGGTTAGAACAACTGAAAATAGGCAAAATATTTGCCAGCAGGCAAAGTATGAAAAAACCAATTCAAGTATGGATATAGTACATTAGAATCATATAAATTACGTATATTTACAAAGGTTAAAAAAAATCACCCAAATCTGCAATGGTCAAATTAAGAGAACATTAGTTTAAATAAATACTTACTCCATGTGGCAGGGTTTTATTTTATCTCAGCCAGCTCCAACCAGTCTCACGTCCTAAAGGATCTTTACATTCTGGGAGCAGCGATATGACTGGTGCCAAGCATCCAAGAATTATTAATCCAAATAAAATTAAAGTAACAGAGAAATGGTGGAGCTCATATGAAATTCTGATTTAATTATTCCTCAGCGATTTAAATGGGATCATTTGCTCTCTCAAAATTGGGAATTTTGAATTATCTCTGCAGATGGACCACTTGGTGTCGTGTACATCTAATGATCCCATTTAAATTGAGTTTGATTTGCAAACATTTTCAAAACTTACACGGCTCCTTAAGCTGCAAGGGAAGGTGACAGATGGTGAAAAGGGAGTGCACAAAAATGACTGTATCACTGTGACTGGTTGCTTTTAGGCTCACAGAATTTGGCTTTCTTAACAACAAAAAAGAAAAACCCCAAGCCTGTAAAACCCCAAGTGATTTTAAAATGTCAAAGCTTATTTTTAATCATTCTTAAATCTTCAACAATTCAGTCAGCAAATAAACGTGGTCGTGTAATACCCAGACCATGTCGACTACTGTAATTACTCTCAGTTAATGAGTTTTTAAGAGCTGATATATTTTAATCAACCAAACAGTCTGGCCGTGCAAGATGAGTATCAGGGGCAAATCATATTAGGCAGAAGTAACAAAAAGAAGGCTAAAAAGTTATGGAAAATTCTTTGAGAAGTGCCATGTATTTGATGAATGAGTATCTAAAGTAAATTCGACTGAAGTTTAAAAAAAAAAAAAAGCCCACAAGATATGAGTATTCTTTCCACCAACAAGTCAGAAAAATAAATCTGGAAGAAGCCCCAGATTTCAAAACCACCTGTGCCTACGGCCTTCTGTCCACCAGTCACACTGTACAGAGCTGCCCCTCTGGTGTCTGGTCAGGTCTGAGCCATGATCAAGTATTTCTAGACACTGTGTGCCCTTCGGGTAACACCTACACCACACTGCACTGAAGGCTGAACTTCATGAGCCCATCACTTTTGAATTAATTTCTTCTACATCTATAAAATATGATTTAAAGTCTTGTCCAAGATTACAAAAAACAAACTTGGTTAAAAACCCAAGGTTAAAAATAAAAGCATGGCATTTTAAATCCAATTATTACAGATATTATGATGGTTTAATCAAGCAGACTTCAATGACAATGCTGCTGTTCTGAGCATGCAAAACACCACTGGTATCTGTTACACTCCTGCCATGTTTCATCATGTGTCCCCTCTCTCTATTCCCAGCCCTAGTCACCCTCCCCTAATAAACAGCATTACAAAAAGGCAAAATCTAGAGTTAGTGGCAAAATCTTCACAGTAACCTGTTAATAAAGTCATAGATGGCTGTCAAGGGTGTCAGTCAACTGGACCTTGGAAAATTAATTTGATGCAGTTTTGCTCCCCAACCAGCTGCGTAGCACAGAAAGGGCAAGCAGCGTGAAATGCATGAGTTCCATGAGGCAACGGGATCTGAGACCAGTATTTTGCAGACTTTTCCGAGCACACGTGTCCGCAGGGAGTGAAAGCATGAGTTGGCGGTCCTGCGTCTACGTAAAATCCCGCCTCACAGCCAAGCCAGAGAGGCACGTAGGGGCCCACAGTTCTGCACATGGGACACTCCCTCTCGTTGGCCTCCGTGTCGCTCCGATGGCCCCAGTTGTGGTACCCGTGCACGTGGCCACAGCTGAGATAAGCCCAGGGCTGCTTCTCCTCTACCACCTCTTTCCTGTTGATGCTGGGGAAGGCCAGGGTGTTGAGCCCCACGGGGCACTGCGGCCGGGCGGCATTAATCTCCTGCCGGAGGGCTTCTATGTGCTTCTGAGTTGGAGTATGAAAAAGGCCATCTGCTGTTCTCCAGAGGAGAGTGGCCCCACACAGGTCAATGAGGGAGCCGTCCTGCAGGACGTTGGTCTCACTTTCCACCTACAACAAGTTTGAGACACATGCCTTTCAAAAGCGAAATCAAGCAAATCACTCCAATATTCCTTCCTCTCAAAACAAGCAAAAAATCTCTGAAGGTAACACAGGGAGGCAAAGTATCCCACAAAAACAGAACGGAGGAGTAACCTATCCTCCCTAAGCCTCGTTTCCTCCTCTGATCACTGGATATAATACCTATATGCCATATGTACAAAGCCCTGAGCACAGTGTGTAAACCTAGCTTTACATGTTCGAATGCTGCAGTGGTTATTTTAATGAACTTCACAAATCTCCTAAGATTTTCTTTTTAACTCCTGAAGTCAGTAACACAATGACTCACTGATCCCGCAGGACGAGATGTCCCACCAGTCCATTCAGTGAACCCTCGTCCTCATCTCAGCGACAGCCAATCCGGAAGACCTTGCTGGGGGTCTGCAATCATTACGGCACAGGTCTGCAATCATTACAGCTGAGTCCGAAGCACTCCTAGTGACCCTTAACTTCCTCCACCTTGAATATATCTTGAAAGGTTTAAAGCTGAACAGTTCAATATAGGTCTTCATTTTTAGAAGGAAGCTGTGCGAGGCACTAAGTGCTTCCAAGACTGATTAACAGCTGACAAGCAGGAGCCAGGCATGGTCAGCAAGAATTGGACCACTGCCTCCATGTGCCAGATGCTAAGCCTTGGGGGTACCAAAGGCCAATAAAACCTCTTCCCCATCCTGCTGAGACTTCCTCATCAGTAGTGGAAGGCAGACATGCTCAGAGCTCGGAGTGCATGAAGGCCCGTAGCGTGCTGTGCAAGGCCACAACGCTACAAGCAGCCAGGAGTGTGGACTCTGGGCTTGAACCCTGGCTCTGTCTCTTATTAGCTGTATGACGTTAGGCAGGTTAAACTTCCCGTGCCTCAGTTTCCCCTTGTTAAAATTTAGAAAAGATGGTTGTGTTAGATAAGTAAATGCAAAGAGTTCTTAGAGAACAATGTCTGCTACGCAGTAAACACGACGTAAATACCAGCTACTGTTACTTTGAGGATGACAGATGGTCAGAAATGGTTTCTGAAAGGTTTTTCTTTAACAGAGATTTGAGAAAGATGTCAGGCTTCAGGAAGGAAGATAGCAGGAAGGCACAGCAGCGGGAGGGAGGACAGGCCAATTGGCATAGGCACCAAGGGAGCAATAGGGAGTTCAACGGGGCTGTTCGGCCAGGCTGAACAAGGATGGATGCAGTTCCTGGCACTGGGTGGGCAAGATGAGAGGCGTAGGCAGGAGAGGGAGGCTGGAGTCCATGCTCAGAGGGAGTCAGTGGGAGGTTTAGGTACCTATACAAGAACTGATTTACCTTTCAAAAAGGTCACTTCTAGAACTCTGGAGGGTGGGTTGGAGGGGTGAAACAGAGAGTTGGTGCTCTCTCTGGTTAGAGAGGGTGAGTACACCTCAACAAACAGAGTCTCAGTGGCAACAGACAAGCGGCATAGGGACTAGACAGCAAGGAATTCGACCCGATGGCACATAGCTCTTGATCTGAGCAAGAGTCTGCTATGTGTCTGGTTGTCTGGGTAGAACAGTGCTTTCCGCAGACCACAGAAACGGCAGATGAGGGAGCAAGCCCTGATTTCACTACTCAGTAGCTCTGTGGTCTTGAGTCAATGACTTAGCCTCTCTGTGCCTGGCTTCCATATCCATTAAACTGGAAAAATGCTAATACATGTCTTATAGAATTGCTGTGAGAACTAAATAAGTGCAATACCGAAAGACAGGCAAGTTCAGTTCTGGGTGTGCTGGATGTGGGGGATGTGCAGAGCATCGGCGGTGGAAATGCCTACAAGGCACATGTGATGCAGGCGGGAGATGGATCAGGCTCGCAGGAACATATCTGGGATGTTACTGGCACCTAGGTGAAGCTGTGGGAATTGATGACACTACCCAGGCAGGGTCCCAGGGAGGGCAGAGAGAACTGAGGACAGAGACAGGGCCTGGGGTGGAGGAAAAGAACCCTATAAGGAAAAAAGGGAGAGGTATGGGAAGCACCAGACATTTTGTCCATCTTTGGTTCAAAGGACTTTGTGGCTCTCTGCTGCCCTTGGGGTACAGCCCAAGCTTCTTAACACACATAAAAGGTCACTCCCAATGCAGCCACTCGACTTCTCCTGCTGTAGCTCTTCCCTTTCTAACTGTATACCAGGACTGCCTGCGGTCAGCTGCAAGGAGCTGGAGTCCATGAACGCACCACCGCGGACCGCCCAGAGGCAGGTGCAAGAGCAACCTCTGCCTAAAATACTCTACCCTGGCACGCCCTGCTCCAGCTGGAGCCCTGGGCTGGCAAACTCCTACTTGTCATCCAGGTCTCACCTGATGTCACTTTGCCCTGGGCATTTTTCTTGTCATGAAGAAATCAGCCCTTCTCAAATATTAGTTGTTAGAAAAAGTTAAGGTCCCCCCAAAATGATAAATCTTAATACTGTTCACGACACACACTGTGACTCCTTTCAAACAGCCTGAAGTTTGCTGGTGCTCCCTCCCCACCCCACCACCCATACCAAGCATCCAGTCTCCTCTCCTCTAATTGGTGTCGTGAGGCTGCTGTTGCTGACCACAGGCAATTCTCAGGGGAAGCCTCGTCGCAGGATGAAGCTGTGTCTAAAGGATCACCCTGATGTGCTAAGAAGCTGAGGTGCGGTGGTGGCTTCGCCTCTGGCTGTGGAACAGCCCTCTTTCCTCCTGCAGGGCAGTTCTTGGTAAACAACAAAGTCTTACCATAAATCTGGGGTGTATGGTCTTTGATATTCCATGTACCCTTGACTCCCACATCTGGGGTAGGTGTCCCACAGAGGGAAAGTACCTTCGGTACCTTCTGATGACTGTGCTCATCACATAGTATCTGCTGATCTGCGGCCTAGTCTGTGACCTCCTCTGGACCACACAATTCGAGGCCAGAGCCTGGGCTGGTGTTCTCTGCCATATCCCCAGTTTGCAACCCGGGCTTAGTAATAACCACCAGCCAGTTACAGGGCATGACATGGCACTCTTCCAATCCTTTCCAGCTACTGAATTTATTTAGTTCTCACAACAATCCTATTAGATGCGTATTCGTATTATTCCAATTTAGGAGATGTGGAAACCAGGCGCAGAGAGGTTAAGTCATTGATTCAAGACCATAGAACTAAGCAGTGAAACCAGGACTTGAACCTGGCGGCCTGATTTAGCAATCATTAGTAGGCATGAATTCAGATTTTATGTCTTAAATTCTACCACAAATGAAAAGGTATGGGCCAGTTGTGGTGGCTCACGCCTGTAATCCCAGCACTTTGGGAGGCCAAGGCGGGTGGATCATGAGGTCAGGAGATCGAGATCATCCTGTGGTCAACATGGTGAAATCCCGTCTCTACTAAAAATACAAAAACTGGCTGGGCATGGTGGCGTGTGCCTGTAATCCCAGCTACTTGAGAGGCTGAGGCAGAAGAATTGCTTGAACCAGGAAGCCGGAGGTTGCAGTGAGCCGAGATCGTGCCAATGAACTCCAACCTGGCTATAAAGCAAGACTCTTGCCTCAAAAAAAGAAAAAAAGAAAAGAAAAGAAAAAAAAAGAAAAGCTATGAGCAGGCACAGGAATTGACAGTATTGTGGAAGTAAGAGACATTTATTTGGTGTCTACAATGGCAACTAATGTAGCCTACATAGCAACTAAGCACAGGGTAGTGAATTCAGTGCCCCACCCACCACTTCTTACTAGCAAGTGACTTAATCTTTTAAAGCCGAGGTTTCCTCATCTGTAGATGGGCACAATAACAACACTGACTTCGCAGGTTATTTTCAGCAACACTGGAAAGGCAATTAATGTAAAGCACCTGGTAGAGCCTGAACAGTTACTCTATGGTTATTTTTATAATTTCACCTAAAATTGGGTATGCAATCAACTTACATGAATTTAATTTTATACAAAGCCAGTTTAGTTTAATAAAATGCCTCATATATAATTTAATTAAATACTCAAGGGCCTCCTAGAGTAATATTATAAATGCTACCATATGTTATCATCAACTAGATAAAGTAGGGCACAATTCAAACTCCATTTCACCTATTTCTTCAGGGGGTTAAAGGCCTCCAGTGACATTTCTTCCACATGTAATTAATTTTGCTGATTAGAACAAAGTACTGAGGTTCCATCATTTGCTGTAATGATGAAAAACAATGGTGATTTCTTGTTACACATATATTAGTATACTGATTCATATCACATGCTGAGTATGGTATTAAAACATAATCCTCCACGTGCACGAGCTCTACAATGTGACTACTACTGTTTTAACAAGTATTTTAGACTTTCAGCCGGTTACTTTATTTCCATATTTCTGTATTAGACTGCAAATGACAAGTACTGCCAGAGACCATCCCCAAAATCAAATTTACAGATAAACATAATTTATATCAAATGCCACCAGAAACATGTAGAGGACCAATGAGTCATGAATTGAAACAGAAGCTCAAAGAGTCAGTAAGCTTTCTTTGAAGACAGACAAAAACTGTTCTCCAGAGGTTCACCGGAGGAGACTACAGGAAGGATGTATCTGTTCAGTTTCCCATGAGCCTAAGATGAGACAGATGGAAGCCTTTGTAATTGGCCAGGTTAATTGGATGCTATCAAATAGGACAGCACAATTTTATGTAGTTCTAAGTGTCGTTTACAGGGACTAACTTCAAAAATACCCTGTATATTTAATACAACCAATTAATACAAGCCAATTTTGGAGTTCCTTTTGGTAGCACTGTAAAATTCTCCGGCATACATTGCAGTGTGAGCTGGGTTGGCACAGTTACCTAAGGGGGCGAGAAACTCATCCCATGATATGCCCTCCCAGACAAATGCGCTCCCTACGGACACCAGAGTATGCTTTATAGTCACCCAGGGAGGCAAATGCCCAGGTGTAAACCATCCCTGGATCCACAAGACATGGTACCCAGTAGTATTAGATGTCCAGACTCTCCATCGGGGAGACCTGGGTCTGAATCCCACTGGCTGCCACCTTCTAACTCTGTGACACTGGGCAGTCTTTAACTTCAAGCCCCATCTTCCTCATCCATGAAATGGGGACGACTCTACGTCCCTTAGAGAGCTGCTGTGCAGATTAAGTGAGCTGATGCTGGAAACGTTAATGTAGTGCCTGCATCTAGCAACCATTTACTGACTTCTTACTTTTGTTGTTATAATGATGAATAACCAGTTTGGCTAAGTTAGGTTAGTTTGGTATAAAACTATCCAGTGATCAGAAACAAAAGGTTATTTAGAAAAATTGCTGTCACATTTGCTTCTCTGTTTACAATTTCTTGAAAATATTTATACAAAATTCATTGAACTTGCACCGTTTTTCTTAGAAAATGATTCTCATATTTATTTCATCCATATGCATTGTAAGATGGATGCAGAAGCTGTGCCTATAGCTGAAAAATGGTGTAAAATAGAAATAAAAATAACCATTCCCTAAACACAAATATCCAGTAAAGAACAGCCAATCAGGGTAGCAAAACAGCTCCCAGCTTCTTTCTTTCTTCCTATCTATCTATCTAATCTATCTATCTATCTAGTTTTAGTTTTTCTTTACAGCTCCCAACTTCTTTTTCCATCTTAGACATGTTTGGTGATGATCCTTCTCTCTGAAAAGTGCTAGGTCAAATCCTCTATTCCTTATACATTTTGTTCCATGGGATTTTTGAAAAACTCTTTCTTTTCTAGCTTCTAGAAAAAGACATTTTTTTCTCTCTCGTTCTAGCTTCTACCTAACAAATTAAGCAAAAGTACAGGAATGGACAGTTTAGTAAAAATCTTTCGGTGGCTTGTGCCACATGGCTATGGCAAGATCAGAAAAGATCAGTTCTACATTTAAGGTACCATAATTATTCTCCAAGGAAGAATGGGTTCAAAAAACTGCTTTAGGGCATGGGGATAAGTGGTGATATTTATAGGAAAATATTAACATGCCAGGTCAATGCAGTATATAAATTATTTCAAGTAAAAAGTTGTAACTATGATTTTGGTGGACAGTATAGAGAATTCTGCATTAATATATACGAATTCAAGGGGAAAACCAGCTGACTTAAATATTTATTAGTTCCAGAAGGTCTAGTAATTTTTTGTTTTGTTTTGTTTTTTGAGACAGAGTCTCACTCTGACACCAAGCTGGAGTGCAGTGGTGCAATCTTGGCTCACTGCAACCTCTGCCTCTCAGGTTCAAGCGATTCTCCTGCCTCAGCATCGAGTAGCTAGGACTATAGGCATGCACCACAACACTTGGCTAATTTTTTTATTTTTAGTAGAGATGGGGTTTCACCATGTTGGCCATGATGGTCTCAATCTCTTGACCTGTGATCTGCCTGCCTCAGCCTCCCAAAGTGCTGGGATTATAGGCATAAGTCACCGCACCTGGCATAATTCTTTTTTTTTTTTTTTTTTTGAGATGGAGTCTTGCTCTGTTGCCCAGGCTGGAGTGCAGTGGCACGATCTTGGCTCACCACAACCTTCACCTCCGGGTTCAAGCAATTCTCCTGCCTCACCTGCCTCAGCCTCCTGAAAAGCTGGGACTACAGGTGTGCACCAACATGCCCAGCTAATTGTAAATAATTCTTTAATTCATAATTTTTACTAATTGTTTTTGGACTACTCAAACGTTTTCCAAATCAATCAAGTTTTACACTAAAAATAAGTTTATTACCCTTAAAGTGAATTTAAGTAGATTTTTGTGGTGAGGTCTATAATAAAAGATAATGCTCTTAAGGTGGTAAGGAGCAAAAGGCAACTTATTCCCACTATGGGAAAAGTTGGGCCATTGAAGGAAATAAGGCCATTTCCCTCTTGCTTTCAGGTACTTGTGGAATTCTGCTTCTCCTGGGTTATGGTACACAGTGCTTGCACCCGTACAAAGGTTCTGAACCTCAGGGGAGGGAAAATGACAGCCTCTGTGTTAGGCTTGTGTTGTTTGGAACATTTTCCAGAGTGAAGTGCACTCACCAGCTTTCCTCGTTGCTGGGCCGACCTGGTTTCTCGCAAGGTGTACACATCTCCGCAGACGGAGATCTCACGCCAGACCCCGGGCTGGGACTCCTCGGTGAAGCCCCCTCGTGGATGCATCACCAGGACGCCATTCGTAGTGAGCCCATCCATGTGGCCGTCAGGGTTTTTCCACTTTGCTGCCTTTTCCTGGAGAGTACACAGCAGAACACAAAAAGCAGGCTAAGATGACGTTCAAATGGAAAGGATTCTGGAATTTCTTTAATATGTTGCATAGAGGCAGAGGGAAGGAAGGTGATGAATTTGCATCTTCTATTTAAAGCTTATAATCACAAGGATAAAATACGCAATTATTTTGGCAATATAAAAGTGTTGAAACAGATGAATGATTTATCACCGGACACATATGATAGCTCTCAAGAGCTTGCAAAAAAACTGATGGCTGGGCTTCTCCCTCTGAGCTTCTTTTTATACTCCCCACAACCCCATGCGATTCCAGGAATCTGGTGCGCTCTCTCTTTTCAGTTATACTTGTGCCATGCTCTTATCCTGCTACCTAAAAGTGCTTTCTATGTAGTCATTGTCGGGATAGGGAAGAAAGGATGGTCATAAAGAAACACTTTTTATTAAAGGTAGAAAATTCGAAACATGTGAAGCCAACAAGTGGGGGCCATTATGTTTTCCCAACAATCAGTGTTTATCTTCTCAAAGACGATGGCACATGTAGCTTGACATGATGACAGGACACTCTTGGGTGCCTGTGCCATAGCTCTTCCCCTCAGCTTTCTTGGTGACAGAGCTCAGCTACTGTTCACGAGGCTGGGGGAAGGGAAATCCTGATGAAGCCAACATGACACTCGCAGCCCTCTTTCCAATGGCTGGTTTACAGGTGGGCACAGCACATGTCTGGGCTCTGACTGATGACACATATCTTCCGGGAAGCTTCCGTAAAAGGTATCTGTGCTCTAAGAAAAGACAAGGAAGAAACAGTGCTTCTGCCACCCTATTCTCTGGCTGGAAGTTGTCATGTGGCAGGGACATGTGGAAGCGCAGGAGCCAGCTCTCACCCGCAAGAAGACTTCCCATGAAGAGGCTGGTGCACCATGGGAGGCAGAAGGCAAGACAGAGAGAACCGGGGGCCCTAGAAGTCACAGAACCACTGAACCACCGACCCTGGAGCTGGCATTCCTCAGCACTTCTTACGTGGCACAGTACATTTTCATTGTTTTTAGACCATTTTGAGTGGGTTCTCTTTTTCCTACAAAAATATCCTAATTTAAAAGGGAACTATGTTAAACCTGGATATTCACTAAAACTTCTGGGGTTCATTTACAAGGAAACTCTATGAGGGCAGGGATTTAAGTCTGTTTTATTCTCTGTAATCCCATATCTAAAACACCCATTATGGAACATAGAAAACACTCAATAAAACATTTTTGAATGAATGAATCACTAACATGTTCCTCTGACCCCTAATGATCTAAATTTGGCCATTTATTTCTCTCTGAAATAAACCTCTTAATTGCCATAAATGCTTTATGGTCAATATTCTAGGCATACTTTAAAAAAAGACTTACTGTAAATATTACAATATAAAAAATAAACGAATAACAAGTAATGGTTATTAATGTTCAGTTTCTCAAACTGGCCACCTGAAAACTAAAATCTGCAAAACCTCACTAGAGGCAACATAAAAAGCCATTTTTTTTTTTTGCTCCAATTAAATGTTCCATATCATAATCACAAGCGTTTTTCGGGAAATCACGTACTTCTTGACAGTACTTACTCCAAGGAATATATTTTTGGAAGAGTCAAATCCAGCGGCGAATATCCGTGCTGTGTAAGGCTCATTCCTGTCACACACGATCCTGCAGGCGAACCTGGATATGGTGCTCTGTGTGATCTGGGCTTCGTCCGTGTTCTGGCTGCCAGAAATCGTATCTGTGACAACGAAGTCGATAGGGCTTTCTGTTGATCTGCCCACCTAAATGAATCAAATGTGCTCGTGATTCACTTGGAAAATAGCAGGGTGCCGTATTTTACGCACATGGAAAAGCCATTCAGGGTCCCTTTAACATTCACTATCTTTGTTCTGAGCGTCAGAATTTAATGCAAGATTTTCATTTGTGCTCCTTTTCCTATTTAACTAGGGAAGATATTAGGGAAACGAACCATTAGAGATACATATTTTTAATTTTATTGTATTGTGGTTAAGAACACAATATGAGATCTATCCTCTGAAATATTTGAGCACACAACGCAGCCGTTGTTGACCACAGGAACAGTGATGCCCAGCACATCTCCAGAACTTATTCATCTTCCTTAACTCACTTTATGCCACTCATTAGTTCATTAAAGTATTGAGAAAAAGCTCAATTAAGAGGACAACAGATTTTTCACCACTCATCAGATTTTATCTCTTGGATCCAGGAAGCAATGCTATTTTCACAACATTTTTTCCCCTCCATTTCTGGGTTTAAAAAGGAAGATTTTAAATAAACAAGGAACTCTTGCCTCCCACTTTCTTGCCCAGCTCCACAGAATGGTTTTCCTGGTTAGGTAAATCCAACATGATTCACAGCACTGAGGAGGAACAGCCCTAATCCAGACACAGAGATAAATGTCCATTAACACTGCTCAGCATGAATGAGGCGGCTATCAAGCCAGCCCAAAGTCTGGGACGCGGTCAAAGGAAAGATTTCAAAAGCTTAGTATTTCAACTTTGGATTTTTAAAAAACTCTCCTGGGGAAGTCTAAACAATTGTCAATAATATTATATTGGCTAATCTTTCTTTGTAAAGGTTTACATGCTGCCAGAAAGAATGTATTTCATTAGAAAGATGGGACAAAGTTCTAACAAAGCATACAACAAAGGTTTAACAAAGCTTGTCCTATTCAGTAAATTCAAATAAGACAGGTATTACTGTCTCCTGTGAACTAGGAGAACTACTTGTTTACAAATACGGAAGTCCTCAAGATGGAATATTTAAAAATTTATGTAATGTTGGTTTATAAATCTCTAACTGGAAAACAGTGCTAAGTGTTTTTAAAGGGACTTCTTAGGTTAAAAATCACTTATAGGTAAATGAATACTTTCTCCCTAAATACGATATTAATGTTATCTTCCAACAATTCTAACTGTGACTCTGAAGCTGTCAACGGGAGGAATGCAGAGCCCTGAGATGTATGCATATAAAGCTCTCAAAAGTCATTTCCAAGGTATTTTTATTCTGGTCTCAAAGTTCTATCTACAAACTAGGCAATGTAATACATTTTCATCTAAATGAATAAAGTGGAAAAAAATCTTATATCACTTAGCTCAGCTTGCTTCTTGGAACAATAAATTTCTTTTGTAAATCTCATATATACATTCTCATGTACAGACTCTCTCTCTAAAACCAACGGACAACAGACATCTATTTTCTCTTGTTTTTTATAACCCTTAATTTCTTGTCCTAATGAAATGTGCCTGGAATGAACTAAACTGCTGGTTTCTCTGAAACTTAACAACTTGAACGGATGCATATTGCCTAGATATATACATTTCAGGTTTAGAAAACACATAAGTTGTTAAAAAATGCAATGTAAAATCTAAATTAGACATATTATAAAATCATCTCATATAATTCATCCTTCTGAAGTTGCAAAATCTCCTCTCTACTAGATTCGTTTAAAAACCGGGTAACTTGGAAACTCTACCGATTCAGACTGCTTTAATTTTGTTAAACATTTTTAAAAAAGATAATTAGAAAAGTAATGAGACTTATTGCAAACTGTTTAACAAATACAGAAAAGTATAAAGGTAAAAACAAAGCCTACTTCAAACTTAGGAGCAAACCCATTCCCAGCTTCTATTCCAATGAAGTTTAGGAGTAAACTGTGATAAATTCTAAAATTCCCCAGTCATCTCACTCAACCTGGAGCCTCACAGCAACAATCATCGTCTCAAGATTTGTCCATCTTGATGGAAGAGGGCAATGACTTTTCAAACTCCTTCTTATAAGTTCAAAGCCAAAACCACTCTGCTAGTTTGAATGCTTCATAACTGTTCCTTCTTGTGTAGAGAATTACTCTTTCCTAGAAGGGCCACATTCTGATTTCAGCCAAATGGATTAAATTAATGTCTTAATAAAATAATTGAAATTGACTGTAAAACAGGAAATTTTACTCCAACGGGAACACACTGCTAGGATCAATGATTTTAAATCATGACACTTACCTTGACTGGACGTATGATTTGTTTACCTATCAGTTTGCTTCCACTTAAATCTAACCTTTAGAGTGCTGGTAAAATTTCATACTCTATGACACAAGCCTCATGTTGCTTTTTCCAGGAAAAAAAAAATACTAAGTCACTTTCCTGCTGAAAAATCACTCAATCTGGAAAACTTGCAGCCTGCCCTTTCTTTTGACTACTGGATCAACTCTGTATCATTTTAAAGGCAGTCATGCACACAAGCCAGGATGCTTCTGAATTTCACTTGATATTCACATAGCATGCAAGCCAGGATGCTTCTGAATTTCCTCTGATATTCACAGAGTGGTGATAGTCATATAACTAGCTACAATAAGAACTTTGCTCCATTCAGTATGTTGAATTTTATATATATAAGAAAAGTGTCGGTCTGCCTGGATGTCAGGTGAAGCCAGGACAGATAAGATGGTATCAAAGCATCTAGAAGGGCTTCCCCTTTTTCTCACCTCCCCCAACCAATTCCTACCCATTTCCCTGCATCTGCATCTATAACTTTATTTTCTGACTCCTCTCTTGGGATAAGGATGAAATATTGTTGTTCCTATCTAACAGCAACCTTTCCATTGATACTTGGTATTCCAATATTCTCCCTTTCCCAAGGATTTTGCTCCTCTTTTCTGAGTCACCAATATCTCCTTTTATACTGGATCATGTCATCAGCTCTCACACACATTCTAGAGCTTCTCAAACTCAGTGGTTAAAAGGCCAGTACTGTTGTTGTTTTAAATTTTAACCCATCACCAATGCCTTTTAAACATACAATAAAAATGAATGTTTGAGAGATAATCATGAACTTGTATGTTTCCGCAATGCCAAACTGTTATAAAGGTTTCCTCTCCACTTGTGTGCTCATCTCATTCTGTCTTTTAACAAACACTTTACTGCCTGGCAGAGGGAGTGCAGGTCGTGTAGCCCTGCTCTGGACTAGTCTCCCACCATTAAAAATGTGTTCCTTCGCCTGCAAGCAACCCCGAACCTCCAGGCCTGTTTCTCTGATTCACTTAACAGCAAGACTTCTTGGAAAACCTGTCATTAGTTATTTCCTCCATTTCCTCACCTATCTCTTTAACTTCCTTCTTTCTCAACCCACTCCAACTAAGCTTCCTACCCCACAACTCTACTGAAAACACTCATGCTAAGATTCCAACAACCAATATATTGCTAAATCCAGGGCTTATGCTGACCCAGCATATCCTGGTCCATTTCTACCTGGTATTACAACAGTGAAACACTTTCAGGCTAGTTGGTAAATAGTCCCCTTCCCTTTTCTTTCTGTTCTCTTCCCAGATGGTATCACCAAATCCCACTTATCAGCTGAAAAAAGTCTTGATCTCTCCTCTGAGCTTCAGACCAACACAACCAATCTCCACTTGTATGTTTGATAAGTATCTCTAATGTAGTATGTGCCAAACAGAACCTGGATCCCCCTTCACCTTGGGGCTTCCCTATATCAACGACTAACTAACATTCAATTTGATCAAGCTAAAAATCAAAACCCAAGAATTATCCAATTCTTCACTTTCCTGCAAGCCCACATTAGCCCTGTGTAAACACTGTCATATGTACCTCCAAACACATGCTCAATCCTTCCACTTTTCCCACCTTGGGTCTGGTTACACCTCTCACTTAAGTTCGATCACCTTAGCCTCCAAACTGCTCTCCCTGTTTCCATACTTGCCACCTAGCTTCTCTTCCATACAGTAGTTTGAGAAATGGTACAAAAACATGAATCAGATTATGCCTCTTCCCCTCTTAAAATCCTCCAACAGCTTCCCAAAACTCCTAGAATAAATCCCAAACTCTAGCTGGCCTGAACGTCCTACCTCTCAGCCTCTACCTACCCTTCCAAGTCCATCTCAGTTCACTTCCATCCTCCTCCACTGTGATCCTGACTTGTAGCCTTTGCATTCACTGTTTCCTCTACCTGGAGGGCTCGCTTATTTGGGGTCTGCCTGCCTCCTCCAGATGTAGGTTCCTTGAGAGGGAGCCGTTGTTATCTCTCGCCAGTCACCAAAGGAGTTTCTAACACAGTAGATGGTCAAGAGATGAAAATGATGATTGGAAGATTATGACAGGGGAGCCTGAATCCTATGAGATACACACACACCTGCACACGCATGCTCATGCACAAGATTTGTAGAAATACTAGAAAAATGTAGATATTCTTTAACATTTTCCTCTTAATAGATACTAATTAAATGTTATCATCTAAAACTACAGTAAATCAACTAAATTAAAAAACAACCCCCCTATCGCTTCTCAGCCTTTTGGCTGAGATCAAGTGTAAAAACAACCCCCCACCAAAACCCAGAAATGTGAGGCCTTGTAGCACCAGGTTCGAAGCCTGTGAGACGGTAAAATCTGAGAGAAAGGAACCCTGCACACTATCTGCAGGACCCACCCAGGCTCCTGGCCCCTATGGGTAGAAGGCACTTGGCACGGCGCTTCTCTAGGGACACTGATAGACAATGCAGCACTTCCTTAATTTCTTCCATGAACTATTGTCTCCTTTATGTTCCACTTTGTTAGACTTTTCCTTCTTTTCTTATTTACCCATTCCAGAAAATAATGACAAAGACCTTACTCTGATTATTTTAACTCAGACTTTCTCGTACCTTAAATCCAGATCTAGCTTTGATTTTTCTCTTCATGCAGTAAGATTTCTGAGTTTGGAGTCTACAACTGACTCCACAGTGGGAAATGCAGCACAAAGCCCTTGGTTCATTCTGATGTTCTGCCTTTAAATACTCAACCCTAGAAATCATTTTAATGAGAATGACTAAAACAAACAAACTCTACACTGAGGTCCATACTTGAGAAATGTGAGTGCTGTAGTGCTTTTTACTTGGTGATTTTTGTCAGTAGTGGGTTTTAGAAATATAAACTTGTTAAAAGGAGGAAAAAATTAAAACAAGTCTGTCTTTCCAAGGTCTTAACAGATTTGCTTAGTTCTCTGCTTAAAATGATCTGCCAATGATCTTCTAAAAGGTCCCGCTAGTCTGTAAACGTAATATGTTAGGTTTCCTTAAGAAACGTGAATTCTTGCTTGGCTTACCACGCTTTATTTAAAGAGGCTGAGCTGGTACTATTCAGAGAATGAAGAGCTCAGTGGCCTAAATCTTAGTTCTTCGCCTAATGCCTCCTCTAGCCTTAGTTTACATTACTTTTCCTATCAAAGTTCCAGATTTCTCAGCTATGAAATTAAGAGGTTGGTACAAATCAGTATTCTCAGAATGTGGTTCATGAACCCCAGAGGGTCCCTGAGACCCTGCCATTGGGTCTAGGTCCAAGAGGCCAAAATTGCTTTCATAATACAAAGATGTTAACTACCTTTTCCACTGCACTGTTCTCTACATTGATGGTGCTAGAACAATGGTGGGTAAAGCTGCTGGTGCTTTAGCATGATTCAAAGCAGTGGCACCAAACTGTAATAATAGTCATTGTATTTTTCATTGCTGTGAATTTGCAGTTTAAAAATTATGAATTTTATTAAATCTTGAGTCTTTTGATATTCTGTATGACAAAGTAGGAAGTATGCATAAAATACATACAAGTTACCAACAGGAAGCTGAAAAAGTTCAACTAAATCTTGAATGCATTCTGCAGAGCTGAGTGGGAGAAGGTGGGCATGTGAGTAGAATGTGACTGGCCAACAGTGCAGAATGCACCATGTGAGACATGTGTCACTAAAGAATACTCTATGAAACTTTGAAAAATTTCTAAGAAACAAGATTCTTTTTAAAGAAATTTAATGTTTCACACTTTGAAAGTATTTCATTTATCTCTAACAGTACCACCACAGTAAGTTTTTTAAGTGGTAAAAAAAGTATCATTGACAATTGTGAAATAGGCTTGATTAACATTTTTAGTATTAAGAATTCTCTCTGTAAAAAAAAAATCTTTAAAATCTTTACTACTACAAGTAGTAAAAAAAAAACTTATAAATTGAAAATAAATAATTTTAATGCGTTATTAAAAAGATATAATAAAATGCCATAAAAACATCAACAGGAAAGAATATGCATATACTTATGCAGGGAGATATTTTCTTTAACACAGTAAGAAGAAAAGATATTCAGATCATGCAATCAAACGGCATGGAGAGTAAAACCACAGTCAGTATTTTGCCCAAATATGATAAATCTTACTTTTGAGTTCAAACTGGCACTTTAATAACTATGTTTACATCTATGACTATGTTTTAATCTAAGATTATTTAATTTTTAAAATATCTATGACATTCACACAGTTCCAAAAATCAAAAAGTGTAAAATATCTCCCTGTATACCACCTGCTCAGTCTCCTTCCACACAAAGGCAACTGCTACATTAATGTCTTGTTACTCATTTTGGAGATTATTTTTTAATGCATATAAGCATTATTTAAACCATTTTACAATATTAAATTAACATTTAATAATTTAATATTATTGAATAACATTTAATTTAGTAATGTTTTAAATTAGTTTTAATTGAATATATTACCAATATGACCCAATATATTTAATAATATTAATATGTAACTCATTTAATATGTATGGAGCTCTTTCTGTGGCTAGACACAGAGCTTTTCTTTGTTCTGCTTATACCATTGGAGGGCTTCACTGTATAACTGTACCTAAATTTACTAAACTGGTCCACTACTGAGAAACATTTAGGCTGTTTCCAATCTTTTCCTATTAAGCAATGCTTAGAGCAATAACTCTGTACAAATGGCATTTTGCATGCAGGTAAGGATATCTCTGGGGTAAGTCTCTAGAAAGAAGAGCTTTACAAAGAGAAGAGCTGAGTCAAACTGTGTAAACATTTTGTATTTTTCATAGGTATTTTCAAATTGCTACCCCATAATGCATACCAATTTCTAGAATATAGGACAGTGTCTGGTTTTCCCACAACTTTGACAAAACCTTTTGGATTTCTGCCAATTTGACAAGTGAAAAGTGGTATCTCTATGTGGTTTTGATTCACATTTTTCTTTTTGTAAGTGAGGTTGAGCATATTTTCTTATTTTTAAGAGCTACTGTTTTTCCTTTTTTGGTGAACTGTCTGTCAAATCCTTTGCTTATTTGTCTATCTGATTGTAGGTCTTTTAAAAGAGATGTCCAGGAGTACCTTATATATATATTTGTGACATTAACCTTTTGTGATACAAATTATAAATATTTCCCGCATTTATAATTTGCCTTTGGCTTTTCTTACCAGTCTGAGGTGTTAAAGTTCAGGACTACTACAAATACACTTAAAAAACATATAAAATTTTCTTTCTTTCTCAATCAAAAGTGCTGATGTAGGTAGCCCAGATTAGGCCTACACTTCACGACGTTATAGAAAACGGAAAAAAGCTGGGGCGTTTCCTTCTAGTCCTATCTCTCTTCCGTACCTATGTTTATGTGTGTGCATATGAAAATAAAGCATGAAGTGGACATATGCTTTTTTTCACTTATTTTATTGTATTTCCCACTTAATGATCATGTAATGGCTGCATGGCATTTTGCATTTAAATGCACCATACTGTAATCATTCTCCTGGAAGTGTGGGTTTATTTCTAGTTTTTTACTAGTATACAAAACATAGAATGAACAACTTTTTGGTTAAATCTTTGTTCATATTCTTTAATTATTTATGTATAAAAATTACTAAAGTTAAAATTACTGGGTCAATTGGTCTGAGTGCTGAAATTCAGGGTAGTACTGCAATGCTGTCCTGTAGAAATGCTGTGCCAATTCACAGTCCCACCAGGGGGACCAATTCCGTACAATGCTTTACAGTGCTGTATTATTTAATATTTTCCAATAATAGGTAATAAAGAGCATTTTATTATTAATTCATTTGGTACTGTGAACATTATTTTAATATATTTATTGGCCATTTAGAGTTCTTCTTCTTAGAATTATATGTTTTGTTCTTTGTCCATTTTTGAAAGCATGGGAAAAGGGATTACTATAATAGACGTATCAATCCTTTGTCTACTTGATTTGTTGCCCTAAATGTCTCTATCTAGTTTGTTTGACTTTTAATTTTGGGTCATTTAAAAAGAAGTGAAGACGTACAAAGTAAAATCTATCTCTTTATTTACTACTGATCCTTCCCTATTCCAAGAATATGAACTCTAAATTTTGTTCTAGAAATTCTTTGTTCCTTCAGTTTTACATTTAAATGTTTATTATTTATGTAATAATTTAATTCTCCATATGGAAATGCAAAGCCTCATCAATTTCAACTCATGTTTGCTTTTTTTCTGTTATTAGCCTAAATTTTAATTGTGTGTGGTTTTAAAGTACTACATCTTGAATATATTCATTAATTCTCTTATTTTAAAATTCATTAACAGATGAATGTTTTTCTTTATTATTTTCCTCCTTCTGCTTTCTTTTGAGGTACTTCTGGACTTTCTATTATATACCACTAAAACTATGCCCAAACCCATCCTGTACTTTCTTAATTGCTGTCCTTTGTCAAAAAATAACTTTTCAGATACATGTTAGGTCTTTGATTTTCTTTCTTTCTCTCTTCTTATAATGAATGCATTTAAGGCAATTTTTCCGAGTAAGATGTTGGCCTCATCTCGTCAGTTTTGATACATAATATTCCCACAGTTATTTCTGAAAAGACCTATAAATGTAGTTTTGATGTCCCTTTAATTCAAGCGTCATTTAGAAAGTATTCTGAAAATGTTGGCTTTTAAAAGTGGTCGGCTTTTTAAAATTTTATTCTTGCTATTAATGTCTATTTTTATTGCACTGAGGTCTGTGAATGTAGCCTTTATAATTTCCTTTTACAGTTAAAGAATTTTTTTTCTTAATCTTTCAGAAACCAAACAGGAATAATTTTTATATTATCTTCAATTCTTTCCTCCTAGACACTGGGCTGGAAGATCTGATTACATACCAAAAATATAGAATTGAAGGAATATGCGCTAAAATTTCCATTAAAAAATATAAATATTACCTGAAACATATCCGTATCTTTATCGTGTGTGTACTCCACCACCACAGTCTGATTCCTTGACAAAGTATAGGATATGCTGTGTTGACCTTTGCAGCTGATAGCCTATTAATAAAATTTTAAAAAAATCAATTAAAATTACATTTCAACAACTTATGGGTTCTATTTGTAGTTATGAGCCATCACTCTACCAGCAAAGCCCAGCACAAGCCAGCACTTTCCAAACAGTCACGGTTTTTCCCTATGCTCTATTCCTTGAATCGCAGATAAGCCAAGAGGCACAATTCTGGTTTTTATCAAATATTCTGTCTTAAAGTGAACAATATTTTACTTAAATCAAAGTTTATTTACTAGTTTGCAAGGCTTGATTCAATCACAGTCTTAGAAAAACACATACTTTCTCCATATTACCTAAACTCTGTAATAGAATTTTTAGACTAATATAGCAATTTATTTCAAACTTTTAAGATTTCACACAACAGATAAGTCACATATTATTATTTTTCCTAGGTGACAGAGTTAGCATGGTAAAAGAATCACTTTAAAAAACAATCAGTGTTCTAGTTAAGATTCCAGTATAATAATATACCATCCTAGCCAATGACAACCACATTTGTATTCTGTTCTACATCTCACTTGTATAAGCAACTGGTTATGTCAGATACAGGTATTGATCGACTTACGACCTATGCAACTTACGACCATTCGACTTTACGACCACAATCGCTAGCCACAACTGCTCCGCGTCTGGCAGCGCAAACGTTGCCCAGCTGGGAGTACGACAGTGCGGACCAGCTTCCGGCAGCACTACCATCTCCGCATGCATATAGCCTACTCAACTTATGACCAAATCGTGTTACCACCGGTCTGCCGGAACCAATCGTGGTAGTAAGTCGAGCACTAGCTGTACTTACTTTATTAATAAGATAGCCAGTAATTTTATATTTTTCCATTTTTAGACTAGGGAAAGCTAATATTCTTTTCCAAATAACCTAGGAATAATATGATATCATTCTTATTTTGTCCATAGTGATATGTTTGAACAAATTCTCAGTATGGTCACATACTTTTAATATTTCGAAATTAACAAAGAAATTGATTTAAAGTGGACTCTAAATTATTTCAATTACATTATATTCATTGTACTTTTTCAATCTTTTACATTAAGTAAAATTTTAATTAGCTCTTCTATTGCACATTTATTGAATGGTGACACTCTATGAAGACCATAGAGTGGACTTCACTTAGAAGTAACTGGACATGCATAGCATGTTAATGAAAATGTACTCAACATTTATATTCGACTAATATAACTGCTTACAGCAATAAAGAGTAAAACATTCCAAATCAACTTTGAAGTTAGCCTGGTTAATCTCATGATTATTTAATAATCTGCCCTGAGGAATTTCATGATTGAGTTGATGTTTTATTTTACATGCTTCATTAAGATAATACTTCTTTAACATGCTCAGGAATCTAAAAAATACTTCTTAAAGTACTCAACACTACTAACAGACATTGTCTTAAATTTTCATTAGTCTGAATCAGATAAATTCACCGATAGTGACTTTTTTTAAAAGCCAAATTTATAAAGATACTATTTTCAATTTAAGTAGATGTAATTTGTATGTTAATTAACTTGATTGTGGCAATCATTTCACAATGTGTATGTACAGCAAATCATCACGTTGCACACCCTGAATATATACAAGTTTTCTTTGTCAATTATACCTCAATAAAAATAAAAGTTTGTAAAAAGTAGATGTTTATCTTTATAGTCTGAAAAAAACCTATTTTAAGAAAAATAGTTTACTAAATTTATAAAACTAATAGGAGTTGATTATAAAAATAATTTTAGGGTTTTCTAAAAAGTATCTATTGCATTTTAAATGGATTCAATTTACAAATATATCAACTCCAACACTACTTTCTTAGCATATACATATTACATAAAATGTCTATAGTATACAAATGACCTACAAAACAAGGAGTTAACAAGTACAGTAATGGGAAATAATTTTAAAGGTTATACATGTTTGTACAATGGCACCTTCTTAAGTATGGTGTTTCTCAAACTTCCACTCCATTTTCCTGAATTGGAATGGTTACCTGAACCTGGAGATGTCTGGGGAACAGCCCTTAAATGAAGTTTCTCATGCTTAAAACAGCTTACCTTAAATTATAAATTTTGTTTTTTATCCCCTAACATATTTGCTAGTTTGAACCTTGAAGCATTTCTCCCAAATCTGCTGGGAAGTCATCGTCTCGTGAAGACTCGCTCTGCTCACCTAAGGCCCAGCATAGCGTGAACAGGGTGCCCTGGAGTAGTGGTCCCCAACCTTTTTTGTACCAGAGACTGGTTTAGCGGAAGACAATTTTTCCATGGACTGGATGGGGGGATGGTTTGGGGATGATTCAAGCACATTACATTTATTGTGTACTTTATTTCTATTATTATTACACTGTAATATATAATTAAATAATTATACAACTCACCATAATGCAGACTCAGTGGAGCCCTGCGCTTGTCTTCCTGCAACTAGGTGGTCCCCTGTGGGGGTGATGGGAGACACTGACAGATCATCAGGCATTAGATTTTCTTAAGGAGTGCACAACCTAGATCCCACACATGCGCAGTTCACAATAGGGTTCATGCTCTTATGAGACTCTAATGCCACTGCTGATCTGACAGGAGGTGGAGCTCAGGCCATAATGTTATAATGTAAGTGATGGGGAGCAGCTATAAATACAGATGAGGCTTCCCTTGCACACCTGCCGCTCACCTCATGCTGTGCAGCCCAGTTCCTAACAGGCCACAGACCACTACTGGTCCCTGGCCCAGGGGCTGGGGTTTGGAGACATCTTCCTCACCACTTTAGAAAACTCCAGGAACAGCCATTTTATAGGACCCAAGTTGTTACTGGACACAAATTCTTGTAAGGTGTTTCATTATAAAAACATTCTTGTGACCCAAACTATAAGACTATGTAACACATGAAAAAGGGTATTTATAGCAAAAGCATCACTTTACTTGGGAGTCTTGACCAAGGCACCAAAATGGAAAGAAAATACTGACGAAGGATGCCTTGAAAGTTGATCCCATTTAAAAAAAAAATTATGATTTCAAACTTCTGCCATGTTTTTATGCTGCTTTAGGCAAATGGCCAGGGTTAGGAAAGGGGAATGCTCTTGGGTCAGGAAAATGCTTTATCTGTGTCTTTTAGATTAAAAAACTTCAGCCAAGCGCTGTGGTTTGGAGGCCTTGGGATTTGGGGAAGATAGGAAAGTGGGAAAAGAGACTGTAGGGAGAAACAAATCCCATGAAGGTGGGGAGTGGCTCTGGGGCAGCATGTGATGTACACCCTACAGCATGGGTGGCTAAGGAACTTTGGAATTAGTGTGACAGTCACCTCGAAGTCACTTCCAGTTCTGGCAAGGATTTCCCTCTGGTAATGCTAAGCCAGGAAGAGGGGCCCTGCCTCTACAAGAGCCCTGGGTACTGGTACCCCAGGGTCCAACAGGCTGCATCTACGGGAAGCAGAAATGTGGGCTGAGCTGGCCTGAAAACACGAGACTGAAGCCAGGACTGAGATTTGGAGCGAAACGTGGCAGTAAAAACCAGGGTGCCTAAGGGCACCACCAGGATCATCTTCAGTAAATGGGGAAATGTGGACTTCCTTCCATTACATGAACTAGGGCTCACATGACCTTGTTTCCATCCATTAAAGTCGAGAATAGAGTCAGCTTTAGGTGGCTGGGGGAAGTTAAAGAAGAGTTTAAGCCTGAGATCAATTTTCACTTTCTTTCTTGGGTCATGTCTTACAGAAAAGTCTGCAAGTACACACGGCATTGAACTTTTTGTTAGAAGTATCAATTGTTCAATTTTTTTTTTTTTTTGAGACACAGTCTCATTCCGTCACCAGGGTGGAGTGCAGTGGCGTGATCTCAGCTCACTGCAACCTCCGACTCCCAGGTTCAAGTGATTCTCCTGCCTCAGCCTCCCGAGTAGCTGGGGCTACAGGCGTGCACCACTACACCCAGCTAATTTTTGTATTTTTTTTTTTTTTTTTTAGTAGAGATGTCGTTTCACCATGTTGGCCAGGAGGGTCTCAATCTCTTGACCTGGTGATCCACCCGCCTCGGCCTACCAAAGTCCTGGGGTTACAGGAGTGAACCACTGCACCCGGCCCAATTGTTCAATATTTTTTAACATTTAAAATATGACTTTCAGAAATACAGCTTCCAGGATATTATAGATTCACTGACTTGAGCCAATCATTTCCAGTATTTTGGAAATAAAAGTTTCCCCAAGGCACCAAGTTGTTTTAGAATCTATTTCCAAAATATCAGAAAATAGAGTAGATAGGGCCTTTTCCTGGCATTCACTACAACTTAATTCAAACACAATTACTGTAAAATAATGCTGTGATCTTACTACATCAACACAAATTTAGAAAGCTCTTTAACATTGTAAAGAAAACCAGCCCAAGCAGCTTGTTGTGTAGACGAGGGGTCCCAGGCCACAGAGCAGGAGGTGAGTGGTGGGCAGGCAAAGGAAGCTTCATCTGTATTTACAACTGCTCCCCATCCCCATCGCTCACATTACCACCTGAGCTCCTCCTGTCAGATCAGCGGTAGCATTAGGTTCTCATAGGAGCATGAATCCCATTGCGAACTGCACACGTGAGGAATCTACACTGTGCACTCCTTATGACAATCTAATGCCTGATGATCTGTCACTGTCTCCCATCATTCGCAGACGGGACCATCTAGTTACAGGAAAACAAGCTCAAGGCTCCACTGATTCTACATTATGGCGAGTTGTATAATTATTAAATATATACTACAATGTAATAATAATGGAAATAAAATATGCAATAAATGTAATGTGGTTGAGTCGTGCTGAATCCATGCCCCTCCCCGGTCCACGGAGAAACTGTTTTTCACAAAACTGGTCCCTGGTGCCAAAATTGGTTGGGGGTTGCTGGTATAGACAATGATTTCCTATAACCACTTCTCTAGTGTGCTGCTGTGATGAGAAGGCAGGTTGCGACTCTGTTCTCGTAACACTGCATGTGCCTTCAGGGCACATTCAGTCTTATCTA